CCCCCCAACCCCCCCCCCCCCCCCCCCCAAAGAAAATACCTCTTCATGTTAAGAAATAGTTTATATTAACGAAAAGCTGTCAAAAAGTTTTTGGCTGAGTCAAACAGAGATATATCTATCTCCTTTAAATACAGCCTACTTACCTTTTCGTTTTGAAAATCTTCCACTGCTACTGCATTAAAAAGGCTTGACCCTTGGTAATTTCTTATTTCTTGTGGAAGGTAACAGCTAGAGATATTCTAGCTCCTGTTCTGTTTGCTTTTATAACGTTATAATGTGGTGCTGTGTCACTGATGGCACATGATAACCATCTCAAATTTAACTTAATATCTTTTAAAGACCTTTAAGCCAGCTAGAGGAGCTGTCTTAGGTCTAAAAAAGGATATTTCCTGTAATTTTTCAAGTTGTTTATTGCTTATGAAGTACTGATCTGATTTTTTCTGTGTGGTCATGAGATAAAATACTGGAACATTTCTCTTCCTTAGTTTCTATTTGAGTTTATTGCTACTTGATATGGCTGTAACATCGTATTGTCACTGAACTTACTATGTTAACTCTAATATAATTATTGTTATGTAATGGATTGTATCTTTCAGCTACACTGAGTAAAATACCAATTGCAGCTATTGATTTTTATATGACAAAATGTTACAGGTTCGATACCAATTTAAGATTTTGTAGAGCTAATAAGATTAATTTGGCTTATAAGCAGGATTTTTATGGGAGAATTTACTGACAATGGCATGTCAGAGCTGGACAGCCTTTCTGTATTGTATTCACTCCGGCAGTGTTTACAAGTGACCCTAATGTAGTTACTTCTCTGAAATGATTAAACCTAGACATTAGCATCTGCACTATACTTAAGAATTGCCTTTGGATGAGATCTACTTTAATTTTCCCAGAAGAGCTTATATGGAGTCATTAATCATGTATTTTTAGAATATTTATTACCTTATTTACCCCAAAAGACCCCCAAATCTCTTGGTCTGGTAGTTCATTCACACCAAGGTAATTTACAAAGGCCTTAACTGCCAGAACCAAATGGCTTTCATGTTACTTGGGTTTTCTTGCTTTTTATGATGCCCATAATGGTGAGTAGCTTTACGGACTAGTAACCGCTGGCACTTCAATATTCTTTCTGCAGTCTAGGTCTGTCTTAGTGGTGGAGATATTTTTACCTGTCTGGGACAGCTGTATTTTGCTAGACTTGGTAAGAAAGAACAAGCACCATAAGTCTACTGGACTTTCTCTATTCAGCACATTTTACCAGTCTTGCAAATTCACATTAAAGCACTGGATAATCACTTAGACACTTAGCAGGTTAAGGAGTATGGCCTTACCGGAAGGGGAAGGAGCCTCCTCAATGCTAGATGGAGCTGGAAAAAAACATAATAATCAAAGTTATTTGTTTGAGCCTAGAACAGAAAAAGGGTAGTGATAATTGATCTAAGGGTTAGTGGTTTTTTTCTGAGAAAGAATACATTTGTCAAACAAATTGAAAGTTGAATTATGATCACAGAATTAAATCAGAGTAAGACACCTTATTGCTCCCAAAATTAGATGATGAAAACATTGATTCTGCATTTTTAAAACACTTTTTTTTATTTTGAAAACTGCTAAATATTTCACTTTGAAATTTTCTGAACTAATGTATTTCACTTTACATTTTAAAAACATTTTTCTCTTCAGAATGATGTGCATGAAAACAAAGATATTAGAGCGCTTATATGACTTGAAAACAGAATTTTTCTATTTTAAGCAGAATTAAATGTGTGTGGTTGACCATAATGAAAGTTTCCAGCTGAATTATTCAAGCAAGACACCTTAAAAAACTATGATTCGTTTTGATATCTATACCCTTTTTTTAATTTGCTTTTTCAGTTGGTCAGCTAGTCAAACCCAATGCCCCATCATTCTGCTGGCCATGCTTGTAGGTAGTTCAAACGTGTTAGCTCGGTTGTTTGGCGTTATTCAAGCATGTGTTATGGTCTCACTCATTTTCCTAAGGAAGAAAAAATAATAATTCTTGTTGCATGTGTCCAGCCTTGCCACCAGATCTAGATCTTCCAGCTGCAAGGGAAAAGGTAATTAGCAACTGCCTGTCTTTCATCTGAAAGGGTATATGGCCTGGACTTTGGATCCAATTGCCAGAGATAAAACTAATCCTGCTTCACAGACCCAAGTGCAAACAATGAAACAAACCCCTGTTCCTCTGGGACAAGGTCAATCCAGGACAGTACAAACCGATAAATAATCAAATGCTTAAAAGTCAGGAAGACCTCATTATTCATTAATGTCTTCTGTGAAGGGAGAGGGAAGAGGCAGGTGGCTTGCCTTCAGGAGTCCTGCTGCTTCTGTGGATACGCTGCGCTGAAGCTGAACAAAGATGCTTTTTTTTTTTTTTCCCCTTTTTACTTATTCTTTCAACAAAAGCAAGGAACAGAGTGAAACTGAGTGAAGATTTGCTTTAAAAATTGAAGTCATCCCAGTCGATGGCCATACATGGCTTGTCAACAAGAAATGCTGCCCTCGACTCCCTCCCTCTGAACTAAAAAAAAATCTTACCTGATACAATGAGTTTAATTTTAGATTTCTGTGTTTTGTTGAGAAGATCCCCAGTCTGTCTGTAGATGCAAGTATATACAGCTGTGTCGAGTAATTGGACGTTGGAAAGCTTTAAGGAAAAGTTGCCATGCTTCATCTGGTCCAAAAAAAGACTAGTTCTGCCATGGTAACGTGGATCCTGCAACTCCAGCAAATCCTGTCCATTGCGAAAAAAGTGCACTAAGACAGATTCTATCTGCCAGTAGAGCATTAAATTGGAAGAGATCAACTCTCCAGGAGAGGTGGTGGTGCAAGGCAAAATGACAGTTTCTCCGACAAATGCATGGCTCGTTGTGTCTGGTTGACCTGGAATAAAAAACAGACAACTTTCTCAGTGCACAGCAGAGCTAGGGACACCAGGTTTCCTATGATTTGGCTTTGTCGCATCATTACTGCCTCTCCTCTTCCCCCTTCTTCTGCCTATGTCCTCCTGCTCCCAGCCAGGCAGGAGGCAGTATGTGCTATGCCAGGACTGAGGGCCACGTATGCTCAGTGTCTATCCAGCTGTGCAGCAGGACAGATGTTGCTGTGTGAAAGTTGCCTTCACTTTGTCAGTGTGGGTGCTGCTTGAACTCGTCTCCTTAGCTGGTGATTTTTCTCCCAGCTTCTGGGAATCTTGGTCTTTGAGATCAGGTGTCTGATTTGATTTTAATTAATTGGTCAGTTCACAAGAGGAAAAGGGGATGCAGGGAAGTGAAGATGGGCAGATATGATTAATAAGCAAGTTTTGGTTTTGTAGGAAGTCTGGCTGAAAAAAGGAGAAGCGTGAAAAGGGTGTTGCATCAGCAAGAGAAAAGTCCTGGATGAATTTGGTCTCCTGCAACTCCCACTGCTCACCTATCAGATCATGGCTCCCCATTTGTACATAATGCGCTAGAGGCTCCTGTCTCCCTTCCCCTGTGTCATGGTTTAACCCCAGCCAGCAACTAAGCACCACGCAGCCGCTCACTCACTCCCCCCCCACCCAGTGGGATGGGGGAGAAAATCAGGAAAAGAAGTAAAACTCATGGGTTAAGAATGGTTTAATAGAACAGAAAAGAAGAAACTAATAATGATAATGATAACACTAATAAAATGACAACAGTAGTAATAAAAGGATTGGAATGTACAAATGATGCGCAGGGCAATTGCTCACCACCCGCCCACCAACACCCTGCCAGTCCCCGAGCGGCGATTCCCCTTCCCCACTTCCCAGTTCCTAAACTAGATGGGACGTCCCATGGTATGGAATACACCGTTGGCCAGTTTGGGTCAGGTGCCCTGGCTCTGTCCTGTGCCAACTTCTTGTGCCCTGGCTGGGCATGAGAAGCTGAAAAATCCTTGACTGTAGTCTAAACACTACTGAGCAACAACTGAAAACATCAGTGTTATCAACATTCTTCACATACTGAACTCAAAACATAGCACTGTACCAGCTACTGGGAAGACAGTTAACTCTATCCCAGCTGAAACCAGGACACCCTGCGACGTCTTGCAGAGGGTCTGACAGAACAGGGCTTTTTTCTGCAGGTCTGGCTTGGTGCACTCTTGCCAACACCTTTCCTGTGGCCTCCCATACTCTGGTAGAGTCATTCTCCCAGTACCCCAGAAAGAAGGTCTGTCATTCCCACTTTAGGTAAATGACTTTTCCAAGGCCTCGGGGAGACAGATACTTTGTACGGGTGGCCTGGACATCAGGCAGAGATGTTACCAACCAATTCCAGCACGTGCAAGAACCGGGGTGAGGGTCGCCTGCTGGTGGACAACCAGGCGGACAGGCAGGGCAGGAAGCCAGATGAATCTCACTTAGACACACTGCTCATTTAGTAACTTTGATACTAATTATTTTTATAAATTCTTCCAAGTTAGTTGAAACTATACTAAAACTTGCAGAAATGGGGGAGTCTGCCACTATCATGTAGGAAAACTCTTACTAGGTTGTGGTGGTATATTTTCTAGGGGAAGACCAGGTTATGTAAGAAGGTTTCTATGCATTTATAAAGCATGGACAACTAGGTGTTTTCAACACAGAATGTGGGCTTAAATTAACACTTTGACCAAACCTGTTTCATAAAATGATTTTATAAATTAAAATGCAAATGAATTAATTTGGATGGAAAACTCATCCCCAGCAGGGAGCAGAACAAAAGCAGCATGACTCTGCAATTGTGCCAAGAAAAGCTAAAATTCGCTGTGTGTCGTGGTTTAACTGTGAAACAACTCAATCTGTTTTCACGGCCAAATTTCTGTGAAGCGTAAGGGGTAAGTAATCAGACTAAATGTAGAAATAAATGTTCTTGGTTGCAGTGTTGACATTCCTGTGTTCTAGGCCTGCACTAGCTCTGTGCATATATTGGGCTGAAGACCAGTTCCCCCTTGAAGTCACTGACATCAGCCAGGGCTCGGCTTGTTACATGCTCGGGCCTCTGTTTCCACATTAATCAGTGTCTGTTTTGAGGCTTGTTTGGTGTCACATTGTGTCCATCCAGACGTCAAAGAAGGAAAAGTATAATTCAGAAAGCTAGATCACAAAGCCAATTAAGTGTCTTCATTTATAACTCTATCACCAAACATCTGCTTTCCTTAGGTTTTCAGATTTTTCAGCTGAAAATCCCACTCCACTTTTGCCCAGCAATGTAAACTTTTTGCTGAAAAAAACACTTGTCCCCAGTACTATTTCTGGCTGCCGGTGGAAGGAGACTCCTCTTACTGTGTGGGGAGCTCAACCATTTTCAGGCTGTACCAGTTGCTGACCAGGTTTTGCTTCTCAAGGGGAACCTGAATTATAACAGTATCCAAACAAGGGTCTTATTTTATTTAAGATAAACCTTAGCCTCCGCTGTATTGTACCCTTACTGCCACAGCACGTACGACCCTACGCTCCCCAAGGAGACTGCCTCAGCCCTGCAATTAGTGACATACCCAGCCAGGGCCATTAGCTGTGCCCAGCACACCGCGAAGGTCCAGCGCCAGCCGAGGAAGGGCGGGGAGAGGAGGGAGCAGCCTGGGACCCGTCCTTGTGCTGTTTGGGCCTGGGGAGCCGAGTAAGGTTGTGCTCAGCAGAGCATCTCCGAGGCAAGGCCATGTCTGAAAGCAGACTGTGGTGATGGCTGACCGTGATTAGCTAACCACAGCGGGGACACGAGTGTGCCTCAGGCTGCTGCAGGTGTTTTGAAAGCCCTGGAAGAAGCCAGCCTCCAGAAGAGCTTTCTGGTGGGAAGAATCCTGTCCACGGGATGTCATTAGGAGAGAGAGTGCTTGCGGCATATGGCGTTGGACATGGATGAAGACAAGATAACCCTGAAATCAACAAAACTTGTAGGTCTATTCAGAAAAAATGGACAGTAAGCATTTGCTTAATGAGCAAAAGGGAGAAAGGGTGTTAGGCCTATCTCCTGATTGCCGTCACTTCTAAATTTGATATTGGTTTTAGAAGTGCATCTATTTGCTTTTCGGCTCTTTATTCTCTTTCTGAAGTGGGAGGACAGCAGTGCTCAGCGTAACCGTTCCTTTCCTGCATGATATGGTGAACAACCCTTGTAACACTTGTGATGACTCTATAAACACCCATGGGGTTCAAACCACCCTGCCCTATATTGCTTTCAGCTGGTAAAAGCAGGGCAGCGGAAGGCGAAAAAGGGGGCACTGCTGATTGCCTGGGACAAGAACAGGTGACTGAAATCTGGCTGTAATGAGTTATTTAACAGACCCTACAGCTGCATGAGGTCTTTTGTAGATGGGAAGAGCAGACTTCTGGGTAGGAGTCAGATAAGTGCCCTCTTACAGAAGCCAGTCTTGAGAAAAAGAGAAAAGTTATGCTAGAGTCCGGTGAGGCTGTGTTAAGCTTCTCACTGAGACTATTGATGCAGCAGGAGGAGTGGAAGCAGAGATCTTCCTGGCCAGAAGACCACAGCAGCCATGTGGTGGGGATGGTGGCAGCTGCCACTGGGGCGCGCGAAGCGGGTGCTCGTCTGATCTACCTGGTAAGCTTTGCATGTAGAAGGTGTAGTTCTCTACCTTGGAAAAAACACGTGCTGGTACACAGCTTTCACTTGCAGCTCTAATACTCAAATGTAAAGTTAGATGACTTTATTTTGTGGATTTTTTTTTTAATTGTGTGTTTTAAATGTTGCCCAAGTGCTTAAGACTCTCAAGGTGAAGTTGAGTGTGCTAATCTAACCAATCTGTAAGATTCCTGCAATGAGAAAAAACTGCTGCTTCAGTATCCAAAGGCTGGTGCAGGGAAGCTTGTGAAGATTGGGCTCTTTGTTTCTCCCTCCTTTCCTCCCCTGAAGATGATCTAGGGTAACCGTCTTCATTTATTAATTATATATTGCTTGTACTGGAGGAATCTGGGATGCCAGTAGGCAATTTGGAGTTTATGCCTTGTGGAAAAGGACCTGGAAGTGGAAAGCTCTTGAGCATGTCTCTCAACTTCAGTCTGGTGGTATTAGTGCAGTTCTGACAGTAGACAAAGTAGTTTAATAGTGGAAGTAATGGGTTAAGCAGAAAAATGTTCCAGTGTTAAAAACAAGGCAACAGGGAATTTCTTTGTGTTTCTGAGTACTTACGAGCTCAAACCGAAATGTGTTAACCTGACAAGGTAGTAGTGTTGTGTGATTCCTTAGAAGCTCACGTCTCGCCTACATACAAAAGTACTTTGGGAAGGGTAGGGGGCTGTTTGTGATCCCAGTTGCTTGCTCAGAAACACTGAACTTGGATTCCCTTATTTTAAGGAGGGGGAAGAGTCAAAGTGTAGCCACTTAAATGGCTCCACGTGCTCGCAGGTGCGCTCAGCTACCAAAAGAGCACATCCTGAGTGGCAATAGAATTTTCACACTGCTCTGTGGAGACACATGAAAGTTTTCCCTAAAAATGTCAGTTGTGCTTCTGGAAGAGAGAGAGACTAGTTCCAGATGAAGCGTAATGTCCTGAACCACTGCTGTGCCTGGTAAATGTGAAGCATTTCTGGGCAAATAGAGGAGTTTTGACCACACGCAGAGGTCTTAATATTGCTGAATTTAAGCCTCAGATAAGGAAATAAATTGCATTCTGGGCCGCATCAAAAGAAGCATGACCAGGAGTGGTTGAGGGAGGTGATTCTCCCCCCCCCACTCCACTCTTGTGAGACCCCACCTGGAGTACTGCATTCAGCTCTGGGGACCCCAACATAAGAAGGACATGGACCTGTTGGAGCGAGTCCAGAGGAGGGCCACGAAGATGACCAGAGGGCTGGAGCACCTCTCCTATGAGGACAGGCTGAGAGAGTTGGGGTTGTTCAGCCTGGAG